ACCATTTCTATAAGCCACAAAACCTGTTCCATCGCGGTGGCTCTTTGAACAAGTCGTCCGATCTGTACAAGCTCAAACGCGAAATGGTGGGACGCGTGACTCAACCAAGGACACCCAAGAGCGCCAGGAATTTGATCATGCAATTCTAGCGTATTTTTAAGTCGTACTTCGTCCATAATAATGTGAGTAAAGTCCTGCTACCACGTTGTCGAGTGCAAATATTGCAATCATTGCAACCATCGAAGTTAGATATCAAACCGCTCATTAGAAATTGGACAAACATCATTATGTTAGCTGCACTAAATCAACTCATCTTCGTACTTAGCATTGTCATGTTCTTGCACAATCCACAATCCCTTCACCATCGCAATCATCTTGCAAACTTCCCCAGCCAGGAGCAGACATTCCCATAAGAGCGTGGTTGTGTCGTCATCCATAATGGCAGTGCGGTGTAAGTCATGAACCTTGGCCATTGTTCTCAACACGCGGCCTTCATGTGCCGCCGCAACGCCTCTCATCAAAACCCGCTTAAGCCCTTCGACTTCATCCCGCAACCACAAATGCACAATCCACGTTGGCGTCGGCTGTTGATGTTGTTTCGCGATAGCAGTACACTCAGCGTCATCGCAACACCACGTCTTTTCACCTCCGGCATCTTCATGACCAACGCGCTGCCGCTTCGTTTTGACGAACGTATCACCCTCGCACGTGATCCTTCGCTTCTTGTTGGAGCTCCCATCGTCACTGCACAACAATCTCCCTGTCCAATCGCTGCAGCCTTCATGATCACCATCGTATCCTGCATCGTTGCTCCCATCACGCCCACCATCGCGTCCGCCAACATTGCCACCGTTGTTGAATTCGTCATGGTTACCCACATTGCAGCCGTCATTGTATCCACGATCGCTGCCGCCGGAGCAGGCACTACCGCTGCCAGCAAAACTCACGTCTGAGCTGCAGTCGTCGTGGTCGCTGCCGTTGATACTGCCGTCGATGTCATGTGTGCACGTCATGGCGAATTGAAAAGTGAGTTTGCTTGGCGATCTTGAACGGACATTCTCATACAACACGAACTACATTACAATTTTAACCAATCATACCTCATAAATATATAAAGCTACGCCGGGGTTTGAACCCGGGGCGTCGCTTCGAACGCAGCATAGCTTACCCACTTGTCCTCTACAGGCTGGTGAAATAACAGGTTTCTCAGAGCCAATATGTTAAATAAAGCCTGGAGTAGTCGGGGGAGATAATTCTCACCTTAGTCAAGGTTAGACGCAATTGAACTTGTTTACCATAAAGGGCAGTGGCCCATAATGATGTTCCACGCAGGTAGGTATAAACGAAGTTAGCGAATTCTTGACTATTTGACCACACCCTCCGAAGAGTAACAGCGAACAAACAGCTGAATGAGTAGGTTTCCGCGAAATCGCCGAAACTAGACTCGATACTCAATAAGCACATCACTCATTTTAATAGCTAGCTACACTGTACACTGTACAAACTCCCACTCCTTAAATCACAAGCAATCCTCAATCCAAGTACATCAATACGCTTCATTCATTGGTTGATAGCAACATCTGTCAATTTTCATCCGGATTTGCTTTTATAATTTCATTTCGTTGCTCAGTGTCCATTGGTTGAAAGAGAGTGGTACAGCAGTCGTTTACTGAGACCTCATTGGCCTTCCCCAGGTGAGAGAATCTATCACGCAGAAATAGCCTCCGTCCATTAGGGTTAACTGAAAAGCTCTTACGAAAACTCGCAAATAACGTTACTTCGATTGAAAACAGACTTCCGGTTACAGAAATGATGGAAATGATGGTCGTCCA